ACTTTGCTATCTTTATCACGAATTAATTTACAATCAGTGTATTCAGTGCTATTTTCAGCAGGTGTTAAGCACACAAATGTTCTAAATCCATTGTTACAACAGAAGAAAATTAATTTTTGAGGCATAATGTGCCTTCGAAGGAAACAGGTACAGTTTTCCTGTTCCAAAGGTACCGACCGCCATTTGCTGTGATAATTAGAAAATGATCAAAATGAGATTATGCCAAAACGAAGTGACCCTTTAACAAAGATAAATATTAAATGCTTTAGTTCTATAATCATTGCATCTCATACTTAACGTGCATTATCACGTTTTGAATAGAAATAATCATTTTAATGGAATACATCAAAGAGCACATTTTTATATCACGTTCAATAACTGTCTGCAGTACAATATTATTTTGTGCATATATTACCATGTTAAATTGAGATTTAGTTACATATGATGCACACATTTCTTCAATGCAAATATAAAGTAAATCGATGATTATTTCTTTAGAGATATATTATGCTGAAATATGATATTTGAAAAATAACAAAAATGATAATTTGATAATATTACTATACAGTCTTCTTTTGAAATGTAGAATAAACATCTTAGAAAATATGTGTAACGTTTTAAACTCTACAGACTGCAGCTCAATTACGATAATAATAGAATGACGTAAAACCGTCTAATTATCTTTCATTTTTTCCCTCTAATAGAGAACGCAGCTTCCCATACATAGTTACTTCATTCTTTGTTTTCAAATCAGACATATTCAGTGACAATTTCATAAATTTCAATCAATTACGTGATTTGAATAGTTTACTCAAGTACTCAACAACACACTTAGTATACTTTAAGTCAAAAAAATAAATACATGTAGATAAAATTAGAAGACGAGTCGCATTTCCTTCCAAAATGAAACTAAACATGTTCATTTTAAAAATCAAATTTATTGTTAATTAATGTTCTCCTAAACTGAACTGAAATAATATTCGATCATTTTGATTTACTGTGCAATTTCCCTACAAAAATTTTCTTTGTGCGGAAAAATAAGTGGTTGTTGGCCGGAGTTGAGCGGAGACCATTGGTGACGGTTAAATTATAAAGTAAAAACTATCGGGGAATTAAAACTGGCTCCTGTGATGGGGTGGCTATTGGGAGAGGTGGCCGAGGTGAAAAGTCAGTTTTATTGAAACAATTCTATTTGTACTACCAAGTTAATTGCCGACGGTTTTGATTTTTTTCTGAATTCAACTAGGGGCTCATGGAAACGAAGTTAGTGAACATAGATAAATTGTGTCTGTAAATAGGAAAATATGTTGATATAAACATTTCTAGAAATTTAAAGTCTGCCTGAAGGTTATTTGAACATTATTTGACGTCTGCTTTTCGAGCATCCTCATCGAAATATGAAATAAATGCATGTACAAATCCTACGCTTTTGCTACAGACAAAAATCTAATGGTGACCACACATTAACTAAAATCAGACATTTACTGCTTTTTTAGTCAGACTTTTCATGACAAACATTTAAATCATCACGTCTCATTGATTCTAATTTAACGACTTAATTAGTAAAATACAAGTCACTTTTAGAATCTACAGTCAGTACGGAGGTTGCCTTAGTCAATTTCATTTTCGACCGGAAGTTGATGTCAGTGCTCTCAATGATGAAATGAAGTAACCATCTATAGCCTCGAACTTTTTATGAAATAGCAATCAAATTGTGTTTGTTGCAGTTCATCCAATTCATAAAGAAACTCCAGACGATAGCTTTAAAATGCGGATTTGATCTTGTCTTATAATTTTGCTGGATTTCTTTGCTGGTTTGTCTTCTTTTTTTTTAGCTCACCAGAACCGTAAGTTGAGGGTGAGCTCTTAGTAGCAAAGGGGGATACTCCGTCGTCCAGCGTCCGTCGTCATGCGTCAACAATCGTCTTCTTCTCTGACACTAAAATGCAGATTTTCCTTTAATTTGGTCTGTAGCATCCTTGTGACAGTCACACTTAAATTTGCTCATTTCATTTCAATTGGCTTTTTAAAGGGGTCAACAGAGCTAAAAAGAGAAATACCTTTAAATGTCTCCTTCTAAAGAGCTAATTCTGTAGCATTCTTAGGTAGTCAGTTATCAAGTTTGCTCATATAAATTTGATTGGGCCCTTTTAAGGGCCGCTTAAGCTAAAAAATAGAACATTCTTTGAAAATCATCTCCTACTGAAATTATTGATAGATGATCACCAAACTTTGTCTGTAGCATTATTATGTAGTCTTTTATCAAGTTTGTTCATATTAATTTGATTGGCCATTTTAGGGACCGCTAAAGCTTAAATGCCTCGGGCCATGGCATTTCATCAAATTATATTTTAAAGGTATTCTAAGCTCAAATTTAATATAAGAAAATATTGACAATGGATACACTGTCTCTTTTTCAATATAGAATAAACGTGTTTTGACTTTACACAGTGTAGATATGTTATGTGTTAAACTCTTCACACTGTAAGTCGTCATAGTATGAATTTATGGTTTCATAAATAAATACCTGTTTTGTTTTCTTTTTAGAAATTACCAACTTTTCTTGGCCTATAATAGGGAATGCAGATTCCCATTAATAGTTTATTCATTCTTTTTATCCAAATTAGACATAGGACGTAGGAATTTCATATATTTCAATACATTTCTATGATAAAAATATTTTACTCAAGGATGAGCATAGTATAACTTTTATAATGAAAGGGAAATGTGTACATGTTATGCAATTCTTCCAAGCTGAGAGAAAGTCTTTATGTCATGACCTTTTTGCTTAAGAAATGATTTGAGGTCATTTGCTTTGAATCTGAACAGTAAACATATCTGCACATTGTCGTCATTAAACATGCTAAAATAAGACTTCACTAGCCACTATTACACTGTGGCTTAGATCAATGGTATAGAAAAAATCTATTTCTGGTATATCTGGACATACTGTTGAACCTGAAGTCTCATGTGCAAAATTGAATTTTGGTATCAGTTGAGCTGTTATGGATATTTTTGAAACCATTTCACCTACTTTCTTGTCTTTTTGTTTTTTTGTTTTTTTATTTACAGACTTGACATTTGGACCAGGATGCGAATTAAATTCAAAAAATTGTTGTCCCAAACTGTAAACTTCAAACATCTACAACTTGCATATTTTGCATGTGACATTTTGTGTATTCATTCACAAAAGTTATAAAAAAATTGTCCCATCAAAATTACCTTGCGCTAGTGGTCATTTATTTTGCATTTATTCTAAAAAGTCTCATAACTCAGAAATAGGTACACACTTGCTACATAGATAATTTTAACAAAGCCTTTCAAAATATTAGGGCAAAATATTTCAAATTTATATTGTGAATATTGAAATAATGGGTTAGATGAGTGATAATATGGCCATCTTAGTGGCCCTATTGTTAATTGTGAAAAAAAAAACAAGCAAAAAAATCAGTGTTATGAAAGTACATTACTAGAGGGGCAAGTTAAAGTTGAGCTGACCTTGCCGTAAGAGATGGACTTGCTTTTCCTCTTGTTAATAATAAACTTAACTCAAAAGAATAATCATTATACATTTTCCATGCACAAAAATAATTGCAGACGCGTTGTTTATTGACTAATTATTGTCTGCCTGAAAAGGTCGGACATAAGAATTAGTGGATTGTGACTCAGGCCTCCTAGAGTGGGGATGTGCGGGGAAAAACCGGTAAATAACCCAGGATTTTTATGCTTTCCGAAAGAAGAGTATATAGTAGCCACTTATTTGTCCGTCCGTCAGTGTTATCTATCTTACTCATGCTTGTCCGGAGTATAAGCTTGTTCTGGCTTCAAGCTGCTTTTTAACAGTTTTGTTTTCCATCTTATGTGGCATTTAACGTCATATCACAATATATAATCGTATAGCTATAACAGTGATATGTTTTAATTGTTTGAGAAACCATTAATGTGTTTCTTTTGAAATATTTTCTCTGTTTCCGCCGGTTCAATGCGTCAGCAATTGGGTGTATCATGGAAAAAAAATCTTAAAGATTTAGTTTGGAGCATTAAGCTGAATTTATACCGTCAAAATGTCCTTAAACTGTAGATCTGGTCAACACTTTTGTTCAAGTGTTCTACTAAATGGACGGCAGTTTGTGTCTAGGACATAAGACTTATAATTAAATTTACACTTTTCTTCCTTTGATTTGATAAACATGTAAAATAATTGTAGATGAATCTGTAGAATTTAATTACTTTTGTTAATTGATCAGTGACTTGCAGTGAAAATAGTTACGTATTGGAACAAAAAAAATGTATATGTTCGTTATTCACATGTTAAGATTATTTTCCATTGAACATTTTTGTCGTTATATATTGTGTTGATCTGTAAAATAACTATTAGACCAAAACGATGATAGTAATTTTAAAAGGCGGTATGGATTCGGACTAATAATCTAATAATCACTAGCCGCATCATGCAGGGGCAAGTGGTGTTCTCCTTGATCAAGAAAATTTAACTCATTGCCCACAACCAGTTGATTCCAAAACTTATGTCTATAAGCTTAAAGCTTGTTATAAAATCGAACTAAAATAAATACTGTATAAACCAACTTTGAGGACTTGCTTTACTGTCGCACATTGCTTATGGTTTGTTTTAAGGAACGATAGTTGTCTGTCATTCTGCAGGAACAACAGGTATTGCGTAATAATCTATTACAGCTTTAAAATCAAAACCACATGAGTATGTATATTTTTACTTTTGACCTTGAAACTTGTCTAAGAATGGCTCTCAGTGACCAAATTAAGTCAAGATAACCCCTTTAAATATACTTAGACGGGCACATATCCAAACAAATGGATACAATCTGTTCTAATACGTTAAACATTGTAAAACAATTATTGAAGTACTGTAAATTATTACTCTATTCACATTAATAATTATAACATAAATTATTTTAAAAATACAAAGAAGTTTAAAGCTATCTATAATCTGCGTAATTAACAGTTTGCATTTCATTTTTCAGAGCTTAAAAAAGGTTTGATTGCATTCTACAAAACGAGACACAGTAAAGTTTTCCTGTCGCCCCTTTTCGAAGAAAATGACACACCTTTGGCTTCTTTCTACATACGACCTGAATTGAATTTAATAATCTCAGCACAAACGAGAAATGATGAAAAAAGACCAGTCAAATCGTTATCGGTGATGTTTAAGACGGGAAACCAAGCTAACCGAGAAATACATGTTATTGCCGATGCTGGTCTCGGAAAAACTGCATTTTCAAACTATCTGGCGATCACGTGGTGTCAAGCTCATTTTCCAGATGAAGACATGATTCAATCTTTTCAAAAGGATGATACAGACTGTATGCAGGGATTTGATTTCTTATTTCTGATCTTATTGCGAGATTCAAACGATTTATGTTCTATAGATGATCTCATATTTGAAAAGATTGTTTCAAATTTGGGTCTAGAAGAAAAACCTTCAAAGGTTTTCCTTCTTAAAATTTTGAACAAAGAGAAATGCCTCGTTATACTTGGAGGACTAGATGAATGGACCCACCCCGAAAAGGAGGAATGTTACAGATCACCCCGATCAATCCCCCATAGGAATGACCGAGAAAATTGTACAATACTGACCACCACGCGATCATGGAAATTAGGAGTTTTGAATCTTAATTCGTGTCAAATAGGAGAAAAGGTAGAACTTACAAAATTAAGTTACGACTCGGCAGTCACACTTACGGAAAGGATTTTACAAAGACTGAAATCTCACCCCAATAAGGATGCATTACAACGTGATGTCACAGCGTTCATTTCAGGAGTCAAAAGCAGACAAAATGATGAACTTACTGCTGTGCCTCTACTTTTGATATATACAATTTGTTTATGGTGTGACGGTGTTCAAATAGGAAATTCAAGATGTGGAATCTATATAAATATAGTAGAACTGCTCTTATCAAGAACGATTCAGAAGCATGGAGATCTTCGGAAATTGTTTGACCATTCTGAAAGTGACATTCCAGAATGCCTTGCTGAATATGAAAACTGTACAAAATACTACCCACTCCTTATGTGTTTAGGGAAATTAGCTTATTATATGTTATTCAATGAAACAAGAGAAAACACGCTAGTATTTAATGGATCAGTTGCTAAAAAATATCTCTCAACAGACGAGATGAAATTTACCCTTCACTCAGGAATGTTGTCAGAAAGTACATCTAAAACATTAACAAAAAAGTTAAGTAAAGTATCATTTCCCCACAAAACAGTTCAGGAATTCTTTGCTGCAATATTTATAAGTTCTGAAAATGAGGCTCGGAAAATTGTTGTAGAAAAATGTAGAAATATTCAAGACATTTTAGACATGTCACAAATTTATGAATTCATAAGTAAAATAAATGCTGCCCGGATGTGTGAAATATCAAATTATTTCATGTATGTGATAAATGAAGACGAGGAAACACGCGTCTATAGAACTACGACAGATAACGAGTACTCCATGTACGATACTCCATTGTTAGACATACAGAAAATGTTCATGTTTTGTTTACAAGAAATGCCTGAAAGCGAAAATATTCAATTATGTTTACAAGATTTTTTCATTGACAAGAACACCGAGCACAAAGAGGAGTTACAACGTTTGTTAAAACAAAATAAAACCAACATAAAATCACTTTATATAGACACCAGACGTACTTCCAGCAGTTTATGTGAAATTATAGATTTATTCTCTCTCACAGATCTAAATCATATACAGAAACTTTACTATCGTGGAGACAGGTGGAAGGTGACTGAGATAAAGCGGATATTGTTTCCCAGTTTACAGAACGTAACTTTGTTGTTTGGTAAATTGACAGATGATGACGAAAATCTGAGTAAAAATTTGGCGCGAGTGCAAAACTTACACTATTTATATATTGAAGGCTTCTTGTTTTCTCACAAAATACTGGAAATAATTTTCAATTTTATCTCCGGTCAAAAATCAATAAAAGAGTTAACATTGAAGCAGTTATACTGTAAAGAACATGGCGACCATGATTGTAAAAGATTGAACTTGGACTTGTCTCAGCATTCAACTCTATCAAAGTTAGACATGCGGCGGTTACCTGACAGGCTACAACTAAATATATCAACACCATCATTAGTTTATGTTAGGTTGTGGTACATCAATCTAGATGAAAGTTCATTTTTACTGTCACGTGACATGTTGAATATTGAAGATATGGTGTTGTCGGATATAGAAATATCTGCAGAAAGTTTACAGAACTTTATTACCGTGCTTGAAAATCTGCCGCAGTCAGTTAAAGTAGTGATGTACGCCATTAAACCGGAAACAGAATATAAACGTGTTAGAGAACATATTCGGAGTTCACAAACTTTCCATGTGATACCAGACAACCATGACTACAACGACTGGCGGCGGTTTGAGTTCAAAACAATAAAACCAAGTAAAGAATAAACAAAGAAAAAATGTAACAAAATAAACTGAAGAAATTACTTTAACACTTTTACATGAAATCAATTCAAATATGGCCACTTACAAAACAAAATGGCGATTTTTCTACGTTATACAGGTACTGTATAGTATGGTCATTTAATTTACAAACACTAATTTCTGTTTAAAGTTTAATTAAGTGACAGTTGTTTATACAAAATATAAATAAATAAATAGCATTTTGAGAGGAGATATAATTCTAGGAAGTTTTTTTACCAGAACTTAACTTGGTACTAGGATTTTGAAATATTTTACAAGTAAGTGATTTTATATTGAATTGTTTATTTTCATACATAATTTCATTTTACAGACCTAAGATTGAAAAAAGATTATTCTAATTGAATCATATTATAATAATTTCTTTTAATTAGATACAAAAGCTATTTATTCAAGTGGAGTTTATTTCTGCATTTCGCACCCTATTGTCGCTAACAGTAGTAGTGTAAGACGTATAATGTAGTTGGGTAAATTTTTGAATAAAATGAATTTTTGTGGATTTCTTTTTGGATCTTTATTTAAACATATAATGAAATGCAAAATCGGGAAAAAAACATAAAAAGCGTAAACAAAGAAACAGTAACAAAGAAAAGTTTGTGAATCTTAGTATTGCGTACAGGGTCGGAGGCCCGTCAGGGGAGGCATATTTAGACAAACATAATAAATCGGTGAGCGAAGTTTTGAATGAAACTAATAATATACTGTTTGATTCTTGTAATAACGTTTTGGAAGATATTAATTCAGTCAACATGGAAAATTGCTCACATGCTAATCAAAAACTACCCACGGAATGAAGCCCATAGAAAAAATGTTTGTTTCCGGCAGAAAGTGTCTCACAATCAAATCCACCGTCAAATAGTGACATTATGAATTGTCTGAAATATCTAAAGGTTAAACTGGACGGTGTTGAAAGTCGTTTAATCAAACTAGATTCCTTAGAGAAGAATGTTATATCATTCGAAAAAGATCTAAAGTTACTTAGAGTACAAGTGCACGATCAACATAAAACATTAGATAATACATTAACAAGTATAGCGGAACGTTGTGAAAGAGTAGAATTTATATCCGCCGAATATCAGTCCAAGGTAGAGGAGCTGGAAAAGAAAATTCAAGCCTGAAAGATAAACTAACTTATTTAGAATCCCAAAGTATGAGAAATAACCTTGTGCTTAGTGGTTTCAAGGAGGAGACGGAAGAAAATTTGGAAGTGAAATTTCGAGAATTTTTGGTAAAGAAACTGAAGATTGCTTAATCAATAGTTGATTCTATCAAATTAGAACGCATACATCGTATGGGAGCTCTCAGTGCCGACAAGAACCGTCGGAGGCGAAATATCCTGGTAAAATTTGCGTTTTTTTTCTGACAGAGAGCTGGTTTGTCGACAAAAGCAATTATTGAGAGGATCAGACTACTATCTGTATGAGCAATTTCCGCCAGAAATAGCAGCTCGTCGCCGGAAGTTAGTGCCTAGACTCCATGACGCAATTAATGCAAACAAAAAAAAGCTTGATTGGTATATGATACCTTATACATTGAAGGTAAAACTTTCAAATGCGACTAGGAACTGTCGGAGAGTGAAATAAGTGTTCCTGTGTGGAACTGTAATGGCCTAACAGACAGTAAATTAACAGACTCTGATTTTGTTTCTCTTGAGATGATATAATCATTTTAAGTGAATCATGGACAGATAGTGACTCTATTATTGATATTGATAATTATACTACATACATTTTTTTTCGTAAATTTAAACATAAGAAAACTAGGTGAAATAGTGGTGGCATTACTATATATGTAAAAAATATTTGTAATGAAGGCGTAGCTGTCGTAAAAACCCATTTTGATACGATTATATGATTAAAGGTAAATGCTTTTTTTCAATTTTGATACAGATACATATTTATGCCGCCTATATTTATGGTCAGACGAGTCTCCTACCTCTCGGGTTATAAATGTAAATTTGTTACGATTACTTATTCAAGATTTGTATCAGTTTGACAAGTTAGAACGCGCTCTTCTGACGGGGGGTTGGAATTGTAGTAGGAGTAGGAGCTAGTCCGATTATATAATGTGTGACTCGACGGTAAATTTCACCGATGATATTAGTTATATACCTGATGAGAACCTTCCCAGAACCTCATGTGATAACATATGTAATAGCCGTGGATTAAAAGTGTTAGACCTGTATAAAGCGACAGGTTTTCGAATTGCTAACGGGCGATATGTAAACACAGACGCGTACACATTTTTTAACCGTAATGCATGTAGCGTTATTGACTTTCTTTTGTTAAAATATACTTTTATACTATCAATTCGGTTGAAGTCTTGCCATTCAACGCTTTCAGTGACCACGCACCTTAAACATTCTGTATGTATAGGATATTAACATAGTACGAGGTCTTTCTGTTAAGGAAATACCTGGTCACGAATTTCATGTGACACCGAGAGCGCGTAGGGCTCGAGGTGTTTCATGAAAGTCGTGACCAGGCTTTTCCTAAACAGAAAGATCGATGTACGAGGCCAATATCCAAATTACACACCGTAAAACTATATTGGCTTGAGCAATGGCTGAACCGAAGCATTTGATGTAACGCACAAATATTATTTTTAACACAACGCATTTACAGGTAAGCTTTTATCAACATTCTGCTTGAAAACAATATATATTTTGCATTTAACTTTGTTTTTCCCTTTAAAATAATAATCAAAAAAGCTAAATGTGCAATTTGTCAATAATAAAGTGAAGGTCTCTAATGGAAAGTATGTTAAAGTATGAATATCTATTTTGATAGTATTTCGTATCAGACAATGCGGACAGTTGCCCCCGGACGTTTGCCCGTTTTTTCTGCTGGTGTGACTTGTCACTTGTCATCTCAGGATAATAATTCATTTATTCATGGATGCTATTTTGACTTTCACAAATTTGCACGAGAGTTTTTGTGTATTTAAGCACAATGAAATTTCGAAAATAGGCGATGGATTTTGGAAGCAAACAATTCAACAATAAAATATTTTAACAATTTAAAACAGGGAGGGGGCAAATGTCTGTCCCTTCCAAAGATATTAGGGGGTAAATGACCGCCACTGGGAAAAGGGGGCAAACTTCCGAGGGGGAAATTGTCCGAAGGGCAATGTCCGGATATCCAGCAGACCTAGAAAGATTAACATATGTATATTGTTTACAAGTGTGAGATACATTAACCGAAACTATATTTTGTATAGCAGATTATAAAGTGTACTAGAATAAAATATGATCGTTCATCATATTTTTTTATACTAAATCACTTATAACTTTATTACCTTTTAAAAATCCTAATAATTATGCTGTGATTACTGATATATAGTTTCATAGATACGAACTTGAAACGTCCATTTTGTTTTATTGTGAACTTAATGACAGAATAACCACTTAGATTGCTATTTCTTTGGAAAAAATGACACGATTAGATAAATGTTAAATGTTTCCTAACTTTGATATGCTATCCATTATTTTTATTCAAGGATTTAATATAACTTCCATTTATCCATTTATGGCAAGTTTCTTTAACAAAATTACCAAAATTGTGAGTCAAGGGCTAGAAAAAGGGGCATATGTGTCGTTCGACATTTCTTGTTTTAAATCTGCATTTTATTACTTAATGTTTAAAATTCATCAGTCGTTTTTTTTAATAACTTAAAATAAAAAAATCTGGAAACAAAGGGATCCCTCGGAAGCATAAATCACAACAAAATAACATAAGAATTGCAGACTCGGTTTGATTGAGTCTGTACATGTGGGATAATTATTAAGTGCAACATCCCTCACGCCCTCTAGCATCGGCTTGAGCGGTACTCAATTCTCAACACTTAATAGTGCTGGCATTAATGATCCCGAAGGACCAGAAAAATATAACAACACTAATAAATACTAAGTTTTAATTAAAAATGATACTCCCAGGCTCCCGTACGATCTCTTGTAAAAACAAATTGCTTTTGATTCATGCTAAATATTTTATTATTTTCACAGATGATAGCGCAAAGATCTAAAAATAATTTTATTTGCTAGCGTAATAATGCTCTTGATATACATGTAACTTTGTATAAGGTTCAGTTTTGTCTCTGTTTATCCTACTTTAAGCCAGTAACGGCCTGCAAAACATCAGTCAAGCACTCAGTCTCAGATGGTCCAGTGATTACGATAAATAATTACAATTCCAACAATTTAATCCCAGACAAGCAAACTAACATAAATACAAATATTTCAGTTAGATCTTACATAAAGAAATCCCATACAAGTTCGATTTTACATAATGAAATCCTATACGTACAATATAGATTTTAACTAACGAGATACCATACATAAGTGCAATATAATAACTAAAACTTAAAAATCCTTTCAAAATGTAGAATCTCTGGATCTCAGGTCACAGATTCCAACCTGCGACGTACAATGTGTGCTCACAAACAATTAGAAATTGGCTACGTGAACAAAATTGCCCGATAAGAGCGCGGCGTTCACACACAGGCAGTATTTGTACATTACGTCATTGGTAGGCACGTTAACGCTAGGCGCGTTTACGTCGTTGTTGGCGTAGACGAGACTGGAACAGAGTTTTGTTTTCAGATGAATCCAAATTCAACTTAAGTAACGCTGATGGTCATCAATGTGTGTACCGTAGACAGGGTGAAAGATTTACTCCTGTTTGTGTCAGAGAACATGATCGTTTCGGAGCCAGGGTAGTTTTGGTTTGGGGTGGTATTATGAGGGGACAAAGAACTCGACTCTTAGTCATTCGAGGCAACTTAAATGCCTGAAGGCATATAAATGAAGTTTTGAATGCAGAAGCCATTCCTTTCATGCAAATGAATGGTCCAGTTGTGTTTCAGCAGGACAATGCACGCCCGCATGTTGCAAGGATCACGCAAGCATTGCAGCGGCTAACGTAAACGTCATGCATCGGCTGGCAAATTCTCCGGATATGAATTCAGTGGAGCAAATGTGGGACGAAGTGGGGAGACGTGTCCGTCGTCGTCATGCACCTCGCACTGTAAACGAGCTAGCAAATGCCCCTGTGGAGGAGAGGAACACCCTCCCTAATCAGCTGGTACAACAATACGTAAACTCGATGAGAAGACGTATTGAAGCACTCATTAGAGCCAGAGGTGGTATCAACAGGTATTAGAGTGCATTATAACTTCGATTATCAAACAAACTCGCAAGGAATTTCAAGTTATAACCACTGAAAAGCCATCTAATGGTAACAGCTTTATTATGCCAAAATCAGTTTTGACCCCTATCTTACATTAGACGTCATTTAACATTTTGACACATGCCCTAGAAAAATTACATTGCATAAATTCTTCAGTAAGACATTGCAGTATAATGTCCTT